TGAAGAAATAGAAATAAAGCTAATTTACTCTAGATCTAATCTTTAGCTAGAAAGTTCAAAGACCTCTAGACTATATATTTAAGATTTAATAGAGACTTAGTTTATATTGTATATAATTATTTAACTATTGTAATTACTTGTTCTAATCTATATTATTTCACTCTTAAGCAGAGGTGTTTGGGGTAATTTAACTTGGAGTTCAGATTTGATAATAGATTTTAATAATTAATATATTATAAGAAAGTATTTTACAATTAAAATTAGTTCAATTAGAAGTAGTATAGTTTGTATTATAATGCTGATTAGAGTATTGTCTAGTATATATATACTGTATATAGTAGTAATAATATAAGGTAAAAGTGCATTACAAAGGTCACTAACTATAATACACTAACTTATTTAGAAAATAATCTAGTACTATGACCCCTAGTTAGAAGCAACTTTAGTTATACAACTTAGCTCATATCTAACCAATATATGAGAGTTTTCTTAAGAGTATAGTTGGCAATATACTGTATCTAAAAAAATGCATAAAAGAAAAAGATAGAATACTATAAATATATTTAAAATTCAGAAAGATTCAGATATCTAGTTGTAGACAGTGTTGGCACATGACCAAGTTATAACAAGTTATATTAGTTTAATTAGAGAGATTATATATTCTTAATTATATAATTTTACTAATTGAATTTAGTAATATAATCTGTTATGATCTAGTCATATGCTAACAATAGCTATAGATACTTAAAAGGTAATATAAGTGTCTATTTATAAGTAAGAAGTACTATATAAAAATAGAATTACTATAATAGAGAATTTGGTGCTTTTTTTATTACCAAACAGAAAGTAGTTTGAGTAAAAAATTATAAATGCTACAAAAAATTCTTGATCACCTGTCTGGAAGTAAATAGAACTAGTATGAGAGATATAAAAAATGCAAAAATATGTGAATTAGAATAGATTCTGTAGTATAAATCTTTGTTTAGTATTTATAAGGATAATAATTTAGGTAAAGTTTAACTTAAGAATAAATTAGCTCTAATATTGGCTAGATTAGAATTAAAAATCATATATATGTATATGTAATTGCAATAAAAATTATATAATATTAATAAAAATCTACTAAACAGAAAAGTTCATTCTTTAAAAAAAAAAAACAAATCAAAACAACAATTAATATTTTTTAATAATTTATCTATACTTTTATGTCTAGAAATATTAAATTCTTTAGAGTGTAAGAATTATATTTTAAGAACCTTTACAAAAGCTATATATCTTCTATTTTTCTTACAACAAGAGATAATAATTATTATAAAAATATATATTGAGTAGTTTTAAATTTTTTTTAAAAAAAATAGTAGATAGTAATTTGGAAAATAAATAGAATTAATCTTTTAACTAAAATTTACTGTACAGATACTACACAACTTGAAAACATTTTTTGTATAAAAAATAAAAAAAGCTACAAGCAACTTTTTGGCAATTTGTTTTGTATAATATTTATATATCTTCTGTTTTAAAAAAAAAATGTACAAAATTTGTTTTTTGTGTGCTATATACAGTATACACAGTAAAAATAATTATTATCTCTGTAATTTTGGTAATATAAAATACAGAGACAAATATAAATTAGTAACTTACTAGTAACTTATTACTAAAATTATAAATTATTGTAATTGTACAACCCTGTATACAACTTATTTAAACAAGTTATATTCCTAGCAAGTTATTTTATACCAATATTCAAAACTTTAACAACCAAATTTCTGGATTGTATCTATATCAAAAAGCACAATTATACAGTAAGTAGGTACTGCTTATCTCACTGACATTCGTTTCACTGAAAGTTCACTTAGCTGACATCACGTAGGGTTAGGGTTAGCATTTGATTAGTTGCAAGTATATATTTTTAATAAATTTTACTTGGTGTAATGTCGGCTAAATGAGCTGTTGGTAAAGTAAGGTAGATCCAAATATTTTAAGTTAAATCATAATCTTTTAACAAAAAACCAATTAGCATAATGATAGGGTCTCTATTTCTTATCTTATTATTGTCGGTAATCTGATTCTCAAGTAGTGATTGGATTTTAGTGGTTATGTCGATTCAAATTCCTTACACTGGATCAAAGATTTTGAATAACTACATCCATAATCGTTAGGTTTTGCAATAATGATCTATGTTATTGAGATTTCGTGAAATAGAAATATTTGAACATGTTTGTTCATTCATTCTAAGATCATACTATTTAATACATTTAATTACGCTGATTGAAATTTAAATATATATATATATATATATATTGAATAATTAGAGAATTGTAAAGTTTTTTTTTTAATTTAAACAATCATTTTACTTCATTCTTGTTTACAAAAGGTATATCATCTAAAGACAATTGCTAATTAGTGTTAATTTATTGAAAACAAAGTCAAAAAAATTACAATGGTTAGAATCGATATTGACATTTTGATGAATTAATTTTAAATAAATATTTTGCTAAATCTCACCGCAGGTGATCATCACCTCATATAGTTTTTTGCTAAAATTTAGGGTTAGGGTGCCCCTATAAGTTAAGGTTAGGTTAGGTATATTGGTTTGAAATTTAGTTATAATAAGGCTTTTTGGGGTCTGAACATTTTTACTTAGAGCCCTTAACTCTAATTACTTAGTACATTTTTGAAATATAGCATTGCAGTGATAATCACCTGCGGTGAGGTTTAGCAATACCCAATATAATATTTTATAACGATAACGATAAATAAAGATAAAATTATTTTTTTATTTACTAAGAATATTAATATATCGACATATTTTAGTTGCTGTACTTAAAAAATTGATATTGAAATATTTTTTACACTACCGCAACTAGTTCTATGTAGGGATTTGATCCTGCTTATCTGAACTCTTCGGCCCTGTTCGAAACCCGAACTCGAGTTTTATTAATCACGTGAATTTAATTATGTGAATGAAACTCAGTGTGCTCGAATTGAGTTCGAAATCGATCTTATGGGCAAAAAGCTTCGTGATCTGTAACTTTTAATTTTTAATTAAACATTACGGCGCATTTGTAAATTGCCCTAAAATTTGAAAAAATTGACTACAGATTGTGAAATATGAATTATAATATTAATACAAATCTATATATTTATAAAAAAATGCTTATTAATATCAAGCCATGATCGGACTTAATTATTCTTTTAAATGATAAGTAATAACGTTAGCAGAATTAATTTTAAACCCCATATCAGCAGCTTTTTGAAAATAAAAGGACGCCATATGTTCGTTTCTTTCAACACCAACCCCATGACGATAACAGAATCCAAGATTATAAATTCCAGAGACATTTCCCAAATCAGCAGCTTTTTTAAAATAAAAAAATGCCATATGTTCATTCTTTTCAGTACCAGTTCCAGTTAGATAGCAATTTCCAAGATCTTTTGCTCCACTACCATCTTTCATATCAGCAGATTTCTGAAAATAAATGAATGCCTTATGTTTATTCTCTTCACCCCCAATTCCCATAACATAACAGTATCCAGTTTGATAAATCCCATTGACGTTTCCCATATCAGCAGACTTTTGATAATAAATGAATGCTTCATATTCATTCTTTTCAACTCCAATCCCATGAAAATAACAGTCTCCAAGCGAAAACATTCCGTCACTATTTCCCATCTCAGCGGATTTTTGGTAATAAATAAATGCCTTATGTTCATCCTTTTCAACACCATTTCCATGATGATAACAATAACCAAGACAATAGGTTCCTAAAGAATGACTCATCTCGGCAGATTTTTTATAATAAATGAAGGCCTTATATTTATCCTTTTCAACTCCAACACCATTTTGATAACAATAACCAACAGTATATATTCCATCGATATTTTCCATATCAGCAGATTTTTGATAATAAATAAATGCTTTATGCTCATTCTTTTCAACTCCAATTCCATTTTGATAACAATACCCAACCAGAAATGTTCCATGAGGGTCATCCATCTCAGCAGATTTTTGATAATAAATAAAAGCGTTATTTTCATCCTTTTCAACTCCAGTTCCTTTCATATAACAATCTCCAAGACTGTGCATTCCACAGGCGTGCCCCATCTCAGCAGCTTTTTGATAATTAATGAATGCCTTATGTTCATCATTTTCAACTCCAATTCCACGTCGATAACAATATCCAGCCTTATATGCTCCACTAGCATGCCCCATCTCTGCAGAACTTTGATAATAAATGAATGCTTTATGTTCATCCTTTTCGACTCCAATTCCTTTTTCATAACAACATCCAACGTGATATATTCCATCTACTTTCCCCATATCAGCAGATTTCTGATAATGATTGAACGCTTCATGATTATCTTTTTCAACTCCTATTCCATTATGATAACAATATCCAACCTGAAATGTTCCCTCAGGGTCATCCATCTCGGCAGATTTTTTATAATAAGTGAATGCCTTATGTTCATCCTTTTCAATTCCAATTCCTTTCATGTAACAATCTCCAAGCTTGTGCATTCCACAAGCGTGTTTCATCTCTGCAGATTTTTTATAATACTTGAATGCTTCATGTTCATTCTTTTCAACTCCTATTCCATTTCGATAACAATATCCGACACAATATATTCCATAGGCATTTCCCATATTAGCTGATTTTCGATAATAATAAAATGCTTTATGTTTATCTTCTTTAATCCCAATTCCATGTTGATAACAATATCCAACCTGAAATGTTCCCTGAGGATCATTCATCTCGGCAGATTTTTGAAAATAAATAAATGCTTGATTCTCATCTTTTTCAACTCCATTTCCCTCTAAATAAAGTTTACCAAGCTTATATATTTCATTTGGCTTGCATTTATTTACTTCATTTCGTGGGATGTCAATAACTAATAAATCGTCATTCTTTCGTTCATCTTTTAATTAATAGTTTGCAAAATTGTCAAGCTATGGAATTTCAATTTTAAAAAATATCATAGTAATACATAAATAAGTAAAATTACTTACCGAAACAGTCCTGTTCGTCTACAATTAATAAATCACTACTTTTCTGATCATCTATGAAATAATAGTTAAAGCTACAGAATATCACTATCAAAAACAAAATCATAGTAACAAATCCGTAATGTTACCTGAACAGTCATATTTGTCTATAATTGAAAAATTGCTGCTTTTTTGATCATCTTTGAATTAATAGTTATAAAATTGTTAAAAACTATAGATATCAATATCAACAAATGGTTCTACTGCAAAATCCTAATATTCAAAATCTTGACACTCAAAATCCATAAAATCAAAATCTCTGTAATAGTCAGATTAAATCCCAAAAATACTAAAATTTTAATATGATATCAGAATTTTAGTATTGTCAGGATTTTAACCTGACAGAATTTTGGTACTTTTGAGATTTTGATTTTTTTTAGATTTTGAATGTCAGGATTTGGATGTCAGAATTTTGTGGTAGAACCGTAACAAATACGTAATGTTACCTTGTTTGTCTATAATTGAAAAATTGCCACTCTCTTGATCATCTTTGAATCAAAAATTGTTAAAAACTATAGATATCAATATCAAAAGTAAAAACATAGTAACAAATATATAATATTACCTAAATAGTCCTGTTCGTCTACAATTAATAAATCACTACTCTTCTGAACATCTATGAAACAATAGTTAAAGCTACAGAATATCAATATCAAAAACAAAATCATAGTAACAAATAAGTAATGTTACCTAAACAGTCATGTTTGTCTATAATTGAAAATTTGCTACTTTTTTGATCATCTTTGAATTAATAGTTATAAAATTGTTAAAAACTATAGATATTAATATTAAAATAAAGTAACAAATGGTTCTACTACAAAATCCTATTATTCAAAATCTTGACACTCAAAATCTATAAAATCAAAATCTCGGTAGTAGTCAGATTAAAATCCCAAAAATACTAAAATCTCAATATGATATAAGAATTTTAGTATTGTCGGGATTTTAACCTGAAGAATTTTGGTACCTTTGAGATTTTGATTTTTTTTTTAGATTTTGAGTGTCAGGATTTGGATGTCAGGATTTTGTGGTAGAACCGTAACAAATACGTAATGTTACCTTGTTTGTCTATAATTGAAAAATTGTCACTCTCTTGATCATCTTTGAATCAAAAATTGTTAAAAATTATAGATATCAATATCAAAAGTAAAATAATAGTAACAAATATATAATGTTACCTAAATAGTCCTGTTTGTCTACAATTAATAAATCACTACTCTTTCGATCATCTATGAAATAATAGTTAACGCTACAGAATATCAATATCAAAAATAAAATTCTAGTAACAACTATATAATGTTACCTAAATATTCATGTTTGTCTATTATTGAAAAATTGCTACTCTTTTGATCATCTTTGAATTAATATGAATTGTTAAAAACAATAGAATATCAATATCCAAAACAAATCATAGTAAAAATACGTAATATCACCTAAATAGTCATAAATTTGCAAATGTTTTGTTAGCTTTCTTTATTTATATACGTAATAAACTTATTAATTCATTAAATATACCTTGTGGAATGAGTAAGCTTTCACTGTTTTCAGAAACCACGTTATTTAAAGGAGTGAATCGACTTTCACCAGTATTAGTCGGTGATGATATCAAAAATTCTTCAGATGCTTCATCAGCTTTATTGATTTGTGTATTGAATTCTGCAGAACTTTGATTTAAAATTTCATTATAGTATCCATCTAAAGTGTCATATAATTCTTCCGAAGATGGTCTATTTTCTGGCTTAGCATCCCAGCATTTAACAATCAATTTAGAAATTAACTCTGGCATATGCGTTGGGATTTCTGGTCTAAAACCATTACAAATCTTTTTGATAAGATTGAAATCATCTGGAATATTACAATATGCCAAAACCCCTGAAACTATTTCATAAGCAATAATGCCAAAAGAATATACATCAGATGCTAAACTATATGATTTATAACTTAATACTTCAGGTGCTATATATGGAATGATTCCAACGATTTTATCAGATTTCTCATTTTCATTTACTGAAAGTCCTAAATCACCGATATAAGCACTATCTAAATTTTTAAGGAATATATTACCACTATGTAAATCTTTGTGAATAAATTTAAGTGAATGAATTAAATGAAGGTCATTTGCAATATGAAGCAATAGCTTTAATTTCTTTTCCCATTTAATTTGTGAAATTGCATAAATATTTTGGCGTAAAGATCCCATTTCTGCATATTGCATAACTAAAATATAGTTTTTAGTAAGTTCGTCTTTTGATATTCCATGGCATCGCAGAAATGTTGGAATTTTAGTTCTAATACGAGAATATACATTTAACTTTAAAAAAAAGAAAAATATTAATAGATTTTAATAAAAGTAATATCTGGAATACAGTAATGTAATATCAATCTTACCTCTTTTAAAATATCCTCGCGGCTGTTAAATATTTTAAGTGCGACATATTCATGACGTATACCACCGTTAGATAATGGTTGGCTCCACTCAGCAGAGTACACAATTGCATATCCACCTTCACCAATCATCTTTTTTTTTTCTAATTCATTAAATGGAATCCACGGAATTGATAAGCCATTTTCAGACAACTTTTGCTGAAAGTCATCATAAAACACATCATTATTTCCATATTCGCATTTATTATTTTCTGCCTTTTGTAACCATTCATTAGCCTTTTCTTGGTTAAGTGAAACACCAATACCATCTCGATAAAATAATCCGACCTTATATTGTCCATTATAATAATTATTTTCCGCAGATTTCAAATACCATTCAAACGCTTTCTTTCTATCTACGTTAGTTCCTTTACCATTCTCATAACAGTGTCCAAGATTATATTGCCCAACAGAATAGCCACCATTGGCGGATATAAAATACAATTCAAATGCTTTCTTTTCATTCTTTAAGGTTCCTATACCATCTCCATAGCAGTTTCCAAGTTCATTAGCAGATCTAAAATACCATTCAAATTCATCCATTAAGGTCTTTGAGTCACTTCCATAAGAGCTTCCAAGCTCTTCAGAATTACCATTTTCAACGGATTTTAAATACCATATAAATGCTTTCTCTTCATTTTTAACAGTACCTATACCGCGGCTATAACAATATCCAAGATTATATTGTCCCTTAGGATAACCACCTTCAGCAGATTTCGAATACCATACGAACGCTTTTTTTTCATCCTTAGAGACTACTATGCCATAGTGGTAGTAAGTTCCAACAATAAATTGTGCCTCTGAATGTCCGCTTTCGGCAGATTTCAAATACCACTCAAATGCTTTCTTTTTATCCTTGTCTGTTCCTATACCATTCTCGTAACAGGCTGCAATACGTTTTTGTCCTTCGGAAAAACCACCTTCGGCAGATTTTAAACACCACTCAAATGCTTTCTTCTCATCCTTGACAGTGCCTAAACCGTATCGGTAAAAATATCCAAGATTATATTGTCCAGCAAGATAACCGCCTTCAGCAGATTTCAAAAACCATTCAAATGCTTTCTTCTCATCTTTGACAGTGCCTATACCGTATTGGTAAAAATATCCAAGATTATATTGTCCCGCATGATAACCGGCTTCAGCAGATTTTAAAAACCATTCAAATGCTTTCATTTCGTCCTTAGAGACTCCTATGCTGAAATGATATAAAGTTCCAACGACAAATTGTCCCTCCGGATAGCCACTTTCGGCAGATTTCAAATACCACTCAAATGCTTTCTTCTCATCCTTGACAGTACCTAAGCCATGTTGATAATAATAACCAAGTTTAAATTGTCCCATATGATAATCGCCTTCGGCAGATTTCAAATACCACTCAAATGCCTTCTTCTCATCCTTGGCTATTCCTATACCATTTTCGTAACAGAATCCAAGATTATACTGCCAATCAGGATAACCATCTTCAGCAAATTTCAAACAATTGTCAAATACTTCTTTTTCATCTTCAGAAGTGACAGTCCCATCTCGATAATAATTTCCAATATTAAATTGACCTTCGGGACTCCTTTCCTTTGCAGTTTTAGTTGACATTATTTATCTTTAATAGATTTTGTAGAGTCATATATTAAATTTTTTTGTAAAATACGTACATACTTATAAAAAAAATCCAGTTATTTATTTATTTTATTAATCTAAAACCACAATCACACCTTATAGAGACAAATCTACAAATCATGTCTCGCGATTATCGAAACATAATCTCTGATGTACTACTTTGAATTTCTATGTACGTACGTACATATTAATGTAACATACAGCTTATTGATGTGATTATTTATGGAATATCGATATTACGTAATTTCAAATGTTAATTCGTAAAAGGATGGGGTGTGCGATACTAATATAATCATTACTAATACAATATATAGTATTACATAACCGCTTTATATTAAAATAATTTAACAACAAAAAAAAAAAATTTGGGGGTAATTACTCTTACAACTAATAATAGGCATTTGGTATTGTGCAAGATCTGTTTTTGTCTTGAAAATCACATAGAACATATGATTTACTATACCCCATAACTTGTTTTTCAAGGCAAGGCTTATTTGCATATATGCATAAAATACGTATTCTTGGAGTATTGTTTCTATGCAAAGAGATTGAGAATTCTGAGCCCTTCACTTTATTAAAATTGACAAATTAAAGAAATTTATTTTCAATATCTTTATATAGAGAGATCGTACTGGGGTGTCAATCATCGGTCTAATTACAATCATAGTACAGGTCATATAGTGGTGATCACTAATTAAAATTTTTTATAGTGTACTGCAGATCAACGATAGTTTAATAGTAAAAACATAGAAAGTTCAAGCTGCAATAACTCTTGATCCAGTAAACCCACACGAATAAAATTATATTTATCGGGTTTGTCATAATGTGCTCTTTAACATGACAATGCTCTTTTTTTTTTATTTTTTATTGTTTGGAGTGTAACGAGTGGATTAATGTAATACAAAAATTCTCGGTTTTGATTTATTATTAATAAAAATATCAAAAACGTAGCTATTGCATATTGTGTTACAATATGCGCAGAAAAATTCTAAGTTACGTTTTAGATGTTTTATTAATAATAAATCAAAACTGTGAATTTTTGTATTACATTATTCCCCTCGCCACACTCCAGACAATAAAAAAAAGAGCGTTGTCTCGTTAAAGTGCACATTATGACAAACCCGACAAATTTTATTCGTGTGGGTTTGCTGGATAAAGAGTTATTGCAGCTTGAGCTTCCTATGTTTCTATCGTTGATCTACAATACACTATAAAAAATCTTAATTAGTGATCACCACTATATGACCTGCACTATGTTTGTAATTAGACTGACGATTGACACCCTAGGATCGTACGTACGTACGTTATGACGATTGAATCTGACGTAGCACTGGGGTGTCCAGTGTACGGCTTATGTATCGATCAACGTCTACCCGGAGATTTTCTAGGTAATTTCTAAAAATAGGTAAATTATTTCGTTTCAAGATTTTCTTTGCGTCTGACAAGATTTTCATCAGATCATCGCATGATGACAATAGTTATCATAAAGATATTCTATTGTTGCCGTCAATTGTGTTTCTGGATCTACGATATATTGTGTCGGTCGTAGTCTTCTGATTTTTATTGTGAAATATTCATTTCCTTTCTGAGTGAATTTATCTATTTCGTAGGAGTAGATATGGTTCGGTATCTTGCTCCATATTTCTGGTCATATTCGTAATTCATATAATGTAGGTATTTTTCCTACTGCTGTTACTACGTTTAACCTATCTTTTGGTTCAAATATAGATAAATATTTAATATCGTAATGATCGTTAATTATTTTATCTACTCTTCGAAGTTGTTTCTTGTGCTCCTTAATAGCTTCTTCTAATGTTTCTTTATAATTTTTGAATTGTAGGATGTCTATTTTTGTGGTCCATTCTGGTTGTTTATTATGGTTTTCAAATTCTTCTTCCGTTATTATCAGTGTTTCTTTGAGTTCTTCTTCATTTTCTAATGTTTCAATATCTGAATATAGATATTTTACATTAGGTATCGATGAATGATATTCTTGGTATTCTTCTTGATAATATGCTTCTATTTCTGCAAATATTAATTCTATATTTTGTTGAAATATAGGTATCAATGGTAATTGTATAGTTTCTTCATATGTATATCATTGCCATGGTTCTGCTTTATCTGGTTCCGTTTGTTCTGGTATCATATATTCATCTGCAGAATATATGAATACTGTTCTTTCGATTCTGTATTTTGCTTCTAAGGTTGGACAATTTCTTTGTGAAGTCCATTCCATAGTACTTAATGCTGTTTTTGACCAGATGTTTATTAATTTGGTTTCGTTTAATACAATGTTGGCTTCTTCAAAGGTTTCTCGGAGTATGGTTGCTTTCGCAGCTTCGCATGTCTTTCCATTTCCGTCTAGGTTTCCTTTTCCTCCCATTCCTTGGTTATGAAGGTAATATGGTTTTTGAGCGTTGTTTCGTAAGGATAAACATATTTTTGTTTTTCTATTTTCTTTCTTGAATAAAGCTAATTGTACTATTCTTCGTAGTAGTAAATTTATATTTTGTATTAGTGAATCCATTATTAACTAAAGATTTCTACATTTTCTACAGTTATCAAAATATTCGGTTCTATTGTCGTCATATGTTTCTTTATAATCATGGAAAGTTGTATATTCTTACAATTTTTGCATTTCCACATCCATTCTGATATACTCAGAATTGATGTTGATTCTATTTTGGATTTCGTTTTGGATTTCTTGATTTATTTCTTCAATGATTTTTCGTACTTGTAATTCTATTCGATATTGTGTCAAGTTATATCCTTTATTTTCTGCTCGTTGTCTACAATTATTACAAGTTTTGAATGCCTTTCCTACGGAAGTGTATCCAAATTCTTCTTGTTTTTGTGTTCTTTTGCACCTTGAACAGCATTGCTTTTTTGGTAAGTTTTGAATTCTTTTCAGTTTTTCTTCAGGGTTTCTTTTGGAATATGTTTTCCGTTCTTTTCTTTTCAATCTGCAATTATTGCAGGTTTTATATACTTTTCCTAATTATTCGTTAAATGATTCTGGATATTCTAATATAGTTTTACAACTTGTACAATATTGGCTTGTTGATATCTCCTGATTCATTCATAGTGTACTTTATTATTTCCATGAATATATGAGAATTCGTGCTAGATTTTTATTTCTGCTTTATCATTTGAATAATCAAAGTTGTCAAAGAATATTAGAATATAATAGTCTTTTTGTTTTACAGTTGCTGTAGAGCTTTCTGATTCTTTGGATTTTGTAATATTTGTTAATTTTAGGGTTCCTAGGTTCAGTTCAGTTCAAGTTCAGGTTCAATGAACCTGAACTGAACCTGAACCTGAACCACAAATTTTGCAGATCTTTGAACCTGAACCTGAACTG